TGACCAGTGGGCTCATGCCTGCATATGACACACTAGGCATCCTCTTGCATCTGTTTGACATTTCGGGACCCTGTGTCAATTTACCCTTGTTACATGCATCATGTCTTTTCAAAATACACTTCCGTTTTCACAGGAAATGTACAGTTTCGCCTCATCAGATGCATACTCTTTTTCAAAATCAACTTACAACATTGATAAAAACTTATTCCTTATGGAACAAAAGTATAAGCTCAACATTCACACAGGAAACAAACGGCGACCGCCTCGGTGAAAGTCTGGGATTTGTTGGAACACCCACCCTAAAAGGGACCTTCCAACTTTTATTAAGTTGTTGCTGGTGGCGTTTCAAATCAAACACTGGTATACGTTTTGTGGTAAGACGATATGCCACCAGGAGGCCTTAGAAACTCGTGCCGTGACAGGTGCCATTTTGTGTCTGGTGCCTAAATCACTGACGGAGTGGTGGTATATGACGACTACAGAATGAGAACAGGCTAAAAGTCAGTCGACTTATTTTATTAACAATGTGGTGTGCCATTATGTGTAGCATGCTATGCTAATGATGTATCTCAATGGTCATGATGTTACATTACATTAGTAACTGTTGTGGTTTTAACCTAAAAACGAAGTGTTTTACCTGTGTTGTATAAGTTTATTTTTAAAAAGACTGTGTGCATTTTGTGAGCAGAAACTGTAAGAAATGGAATTGTGTTTCGAAAAGTCACAATGCATGTAATGAGTGCCAATTGACACGCCATCCTTGAATGACCAAAACAGACGTAGGAGGATACCTAGCACGTCATATTTGGACATGTAGGGCAACTGACCAAGCGTTGGTACTTGAAGAGTTGGGATAAGAACGTGCTGGAGTGTCCTGGCTAAGACAGGCAGCAGCACATCGTATAAAGTTTCAGACATACAACATAAAACAGTTACAGACAATAAAATGTGTTAACATGTATTATATTAATCTAAATCTGTCCTAAAGAAGTGATTATTTGCTGGATTAAATTTTAAAATATGAATTTAATGTACAAAAAAATGGTTCCAGAAAGTTTTACAGTGTCGCAGACAACATCTGTCTTCAGGTGAAATAATCTCATATATTTATTCTTCAAGCTAGAGCAATCTGACAGACTGATGCATATTGATTCTTCATCTGGGTCGCACGGTGTCCTTTATACATTTTTAATGTGTCTGAAGCAATCAGGACGCCCTCACTGGACAAACTGAAGAGGAGTTATCAGGCTGAGCTCGTCTGGTGAAAATGTAAACAGTGGAAAAAGGAAGTAGGCAGCACACTGCAGCGATATTGTGTTATCATGGAAATAATGAGAAACACCTGCCGAGCTGACAGCACGACAAACTCAGTCAGGCTCATCCGAAAAGTCCCATAGTACACAGAACTCTTTTAAAAATAACATCAATGTAACACCAATCACATTTTACATCAAGCGGAGATGTGAGGAGAGTCCCTGTGTCAGAGTGTCAATAAATGTTTGTATCTTCTTTTGACCACAAAAAGTAGATGGAGCTTCACATTCAGCAGCTGTTGAAGGAAGTGAATCCAGGTCTGCCTCGTGCTTTAACGTCTCTACCTGCTACACTGTACAGATTCACTCCGACATGACCTCAGATCCACCATCACCTCCAGAGAAACAGTCACGACCGCATGTACACGCCGCATTAAGTCATGCAATGGAAAACAGCTGGTCAAGCAGTGTGTGTGTGTAGCTTGGTACCATGTGATGAGATTAAAGGCTTGTTATGGTTACAGTCTGTTGAATTAGTGTGTGCACCATGTTAGGGGAAGACTGTTGGTAGGAAACATGATGTGAACCTCTGTCTCTAGTGTCAAAGTTACATCATCTCATGTCTCCTGCAATAATTGCTGCATCTTGTTTTTAGTTATTTTAAGCTTTGTAAATTTGAGTCTGGCAAAAAAGCAACAGAACAAGGGCCTGAAAACAAATTTTCTCAATCAGTGTCTCAATATAAGAGACGGGGTCCTATGTGAACACAATTTCCTACAAAAGTCTGAACAGCTGTGATACATTTTCCCCAGAGAGATAACTTTCTGAGCAGGTGTTGGTTAGTGCTCTTCTCACTTGCTTGAGGTGGGTGGGGCTCATTTTTAAAAAAAAGCAGGTCGTATGCTTCCATCAAGAAGCAGCCTCTGGGTATAAAACTTGAGCCAAACACTGAAGTGCCAGAAACTGCAGTTCCTCTAATGGCCACTTGAGGCTGAGCCAACTTCCATAGACCCCCATGCTAAAATGCCGAACTGTTTTTTACAGCCTGGTACAAAAAACGGTTTCGGTCTTTGTGGCTAATTTCCACCTTCAAGACAACTGTACAAGGGATCCATTTTTATAGCTTGGCTGTCTGCTACTAAAGCGTAACTCCAGATTCACAGAGTATAGGTACCTACCCTATTTTGTTGTGTTTTCAGTTAACCTTTCAGTCATCTAAAGAAATCTTGTTCAGCATTTGGTTGTACTTAAAATCCTTATTTTGGATATTGACTTTTTCTGGTTCATTTTGTTTAAATGGTTTTAGGCTGGTTTTTGCTTGTGAAAATAAGCATTAGCACACAGTTTTCACATTTAACCAAAGCTGTGAATGCACAGTGCTAACAAAGCTAGCAGCTAGCATTAAGCTTAGCTCCACCCTCTCATCCAAATATGGTCACCTCTGGCTCCACAAATCCAAGATGGAGACAACTGAAGTCGCAAGAAGTGGTGGTGCGAAAAGCCAAAATGGTTCAAACAATAAAATCAAAATAAAATTATGTGCATAATCAGCACTGCATCTAACTGTGCAGCCCATACTACTACCAGTTTAGCACACTATTAACTTGAATGGGGATAAGATAATTAAACCGTGCAGCTCTTCAAGACTTTCCAATTGTTATTGTAAGAAATCAATTGTATCTGGGTACTTTGTGATGGCTGTGGGGCTCAAAAAAATTATCTGATGATTTACAGACAGCTGTTCAGCCATGAAGGTCAATGGGAAGAATTTTTTTTTGGGCCACAGGGTGTCACATAATGGTGTAATTCCACTGTTTGGCCGTTACATAATTGGCTTCAAAGCCCAGTGCACTTTCTGGGTGCCTGGAGAATAGTTATTGTCATAGGAAAATACATACAATTTGAAATCAAATTTTCAGAGGTTTCAATACTTGGGCAACAAATACTCTGAATGCTCAAGAGATGCAAATGAATTTCAGTGCAGATACGTCAGTCCTTTCATCTACTGATGACATCAACCACAGCAGACCAGAGCTGGATTTCAATGCTCTATGGGCCTACCACAGATAAATCACCAACAGCAGGGGCATAAATAAAGAGAGCGCAGGCAGTGTGGATGCACAGGGGCCTGTGGGGTGTGGGGCGGAGAATGGTCCCCTGATAGTGATTAGATTGCCAGCATAGAAATATGCCTGTGTTCAAAGAGCTGGAGTTGAATTCAAAATAGTGCCATTAGTCATATATGACCTCTGTCATGTTTTTTTTTGTAAAATAATAGCAATCTATATCAAAATCATATGCTTATTCTACATTAACTAAATATAAACTATAAATAAACATTAAAACAGTTTGTCCTATGTCAAGTTTCTATTTGATCATGCGACAACACCATGACATGTAGCAGTAATTCCCAACTGGTCCAACCACGGGGTCCAGATTTCTTGTATTCAATGTCATACTTGCATTTGGCCGTGTCGTTGACCTAGTTTGCTGTCTCTGCTTAGTAGCCATCCATTAATCACTCACTCTACAGCAGGAAATGGCTCTTCAAAATAAAATCAAACTGAATGATTTTAAAAATTAATTTGTGCCAGCTTCAATTAAGATTTTAAATAATGTAGCTTGATGCATCAGGGGGTGTGCTGTGCTTTGCTGATGATGCTCTGTTGTGTGCTGGTGTTATGTGCAATACAGGAGAGGCAGATGTGCAATACTGTAATATGTAGTATGTTTCTATGGTGTATGCTTTTCATTTCCTCTGGACTATTATTGTAAAGCAGCTCCTGAGTCCAAGACAAATTTCCCTACAAGGACAATAAAGTAGGCCTATATCGTATCATATCATAAAATAAAAGTTATGTGCCGGAAATTCACTGTACTTAAAAATAAAGTGTGTTTTTTAGAAACCTTACACATTCAAGAATCACTTTCTGTCCATTCAGAATAAACCTGCGACCCACTTTTGGACTGCGACCCACCAGTTGGGAACCACTACCATATCCAGTATGTGCACGCCCTTGCCAAGCAGCCTCTCTCCTATGTGAAACCCACTGAGGACCCTTCACCTTCCACTGCACCATCTGCATCTTCATCCATAATAACAAGTTCATATTCCTTCAAAATTCATTACTCTGTTGTGATTATCTCATGTCCGGGGAGTTGTTGCAGCACAGGCAATTAGAAAATCACTCACGTCTGCGTGCTGGAATGAAATTATTGAAGATTAGATTCTGCCTTGATTATCTTTTTTCCCCCCTTCAGGTGGAAAATGTGTACTCAGCACGTGGAGATAAGAGTCGCTGCGGCGTCCAGTCAAGAGGCGCCACCGCAGTGTGGTTAATGGTGAGACTGAGCCATGGTTAAGACCTGTTTCAACACCTCTTGGTAAGCAGGTTGCACTCACTGGAACATGAAATAACCTTTCGGCCACAGCGGTTCAGTCTACGTTACAAATCACCAGCCTGTTACAGTAAGCTGAGGGCTACTCAGTGTGCCCCAGGGGCCAACCACACCATGTGTGCAGCAAGGCAGCAGCAGATGTGGAGGAAGAACGCGCGCAGGGAAGGGAAGCAGAAAAAGAAATAAAACTTCCTCCGCTGCAGCTGGAGAGAATAATGATGTGTGTGTGCAGCAAGACGCAGAATTGGGAAGGCAGTGAGTATCAAGAAGTCAGACAGGAGTTAGGAATCATCGGACTTAAACACGCATATGCATTCACTCTCAGGGATGGAAAAAGGTGGATCTTACCTCCCAACGCTTGTTTCATAACGAAATTCATGATGATGGCTTTTAATTCCTTGCCTTCCTTGTCTGAGCGATGTTACATTCAATAGTAACAGAAAAGTAGAAGTCCTTTGTAGCCAGATCTGGAAGAGAAAACAATACAAAAACTATATTTCTTGCAAAAAAAACAATAATCCCAAGCTTAAAAGTCTTAAAACTGATTACAAGACAGCAAAAGCAAAGAGCAATACATCACATAGCATGCAGGATCATGACTTTAAATGCAACTGAGTGCGATAAAATCCCTAAAAACTCACTTTACCACCACTACACCCACGCTCCCATTCAAATATTCAAAGACTACTGTGGAAAAATTCAACAATAATTTCTGAAACTTCTCTTTTTGGCTCCAATTTGAGCCTGCACGGAGCCAAACAGTCACATCTAGGCTTATAAAGTCTGTATCTGTGTGTCAGGCACGTTCCCTCAATGCGCCAACTGAAGGACACCAAGGTCAATGGTTCAAACACAACCTGAACACACCGGGAAAAAACACCTCAAATCTACAGACCAAATCAGCAGCTACGGCTCTTCAGTTCCTTGCAAATGTGGCGCTTTTTTCCCCCAAGAATCCCGCACAGCTGAGTGTGAGGTGTCAGGCTCCAGTAACGTGTCACGACAATCAGTAATAACCTCTATGTGCCCGCAGCCGAGCGAGTTTGGAGTAAGTGCACGGCGCGAGTCCTCAGCTTGGCAGGACAGACTGTCATGCATGTGGACGCAGGTCTAAACCACTGCTGTGTATTTTTCCTGATCATGTGGTAAAACTTTCCATCCTCCATTGGAGGGGCATTGGACACAGCCATCCCACTCCGGCATCACAGAAAGCTGCTCGTGTAGTGAGCGTTAATTAAGCAGCAACGCAGACTGATGCGTGCATATTTACAGCCACATATGCAGTGAACGTGCAGTTAATGTGCTCACAAATCGACCTGATTGTGCATTTGCGTGCAGAGACACAGAGATGGTGTAAAAGCATGGATGCACATGCACTTCCTTGTTTGATCGGAGCCTGGTTTCAGCACCACCGCGAGTGGATAGCTCCCCGCGCCTTTGCATTGCATTGAAGCAGCAGCATCAAGCGTCGATTTACCTCCGTCCGGCGACTGGCTGAAATCCTCCTCACACACCAAGCCAAGGATGAGGAGAGCAGAGCTTGCGGCTGCAGCACCCTCTGGAACCAAAGTTATCCTGCAGCAGGCAACAGCAGCACAGGCTAATCTAACTGCTCGTCCCTCGCATCTCCGGCTCCCAGGGCTGGAAAAAGGACGTCCTTGGTGCCTCCTCCTGCCTGCCGCTTCGTCTTCCTGCACACACACACACAAACACACACGCTCACTTACACACACACACGCGCGCACGTAGAGAGAAAGAGGAGGAGTAGATGGGGGGGTTGGTGGTTTGCGGAGGGTGAAGCAGCTGCCGTTCACACCATGATGGGAAGGAGCGACTGAATCACATGGAGGGGATGGAGGGAGAAACGTCCCACTAACGTCCTCCTGACCGATAGAGAGAGATCAATTATTCAGCCCCGATGCTGGCTGGCTGCTCTGTCCTACAGCCCGCCCTACCGTGAGTCTCGGTAACGGGGAGAGGGACTCGGCTTTCACTTAAAACGGTAGCGCATGATATAACGGGAATATGAAGGGGTAAATATGTTGTAGCTGGATGTGTCTTTGTTTGCCTGCACTGTGAAATGTGTAATGACACACATTCGGTTTGTAGCAGTCGGATATGATGTGGAGAAATCACCAAATGTTCCTGTGGGGTTCCTTCCGTGCTGCTACAGCTGATTCCAGTGTGAGCTCTTCCCTACACCATATTGTTCTTTATTATATTTGACTTGTTTCATCATGATACTCTGCTACACATCAGCACGTATCAGTGGTGTGCACAGACTGTGGAAGAGGCAGGGGTAAATTGAAGAGAGGCACCTTCTCCTGATACCTGGGATGTGACATGTCAACCCAGTTGCCAGATAAAAATGTTGGCATTGTACATTTCTGCAAACCATGGATACTTTACATGTGTGCCTTATTATATAGGACACTTCAGTCACACAACAAATGTTTATTCTATCAGCAGAACATAATTTGGCGTCTACACTCCGGCCTAATCGTTCCTCACAAATAGGTTTACGTGAGATATTGGGGATATTGGATGCTGGGGTGGAGGTGGGGCTGAAAGAGCAATCGGCAGTACTGATGCAGGGCGGCAGTGGGACTGAGAAGGCAAAGGGAGAGCCGGCAAGATTTTGCATCTTAAATAGACCGCCAAATTGGGAAGGTGTGTTTTGGAGATGACATACGGGTAGTGACGTATGAATCAGTGCAGCTCGAGTTGACTGCCAAAGCTAGCTCGCAGGCAGCTATGGCTAACATGTAGTTAGATTCAGGGACAAAAAACACCTGGGTATGGTTAAGAAAAGATTATGTTTTGGTTTAAAATATCCGGGTTTCGGGGGCACAATCCTGCCTGGGAATGCAGCGATATCAAGATAAGAAACAACCCTGTTTTTGTGGCACTATCCTGACTGAAACACAACCGAGGCCTAGTAATAAACAACCTCTTTTCGTTGCACTACCCCTGCAGGAAACGCAGCGATGTCTTGGTAAAAAACAACTGCTTTTCAAGGCACTATCCCCGAAGGAAGAACAGAAACAGGTTTCTAAAAAAAAATCAATCAAGAAGAATCAAGAAGATCTGCATGTAAAACAGCAACTGGTCGCTAAAAACCACTCACGTTTAGGGACTAAAAAGGCCTGCAGTACAAACTGCTGCCATGGAAATGCTGCGATGACTCGCTAAAAAACAATGGTTTTTATTGTTCATTGTTCTCAAACAGCAGTCTGCAGTGGTCTACAGCCTCACAGACATCTCAGCAAGGTGACACACTATCCATCCTCCCCACCCCCTGATGACAGCCAGCTCATATACTACACCATTTTAAAAATGTGGAAAAGATACATACGAAACATATTAATGTAGCGTATTTATAGCGACTAAGCTAGTGGTGACTTGTGGTCTTAGTTGTACATGGGCAGAACTGAGGTATGGAAGTGTCCTGTTATGGCCAAGACAGCTCCTGTGCATGCCACTGGGGCTAACGCTGTATGCAGACATTTCCGGCTGAAAGATGCATCAAATCAAAGCTTAAACCTGACTTACTATCACCTGGATTTCATAAGCACTGTACTGTTTTGTTTCAGGGTGGGCTGTGTTTGGCGACTGCATCTGCTACACAAGTCAGAGTGGATAAGCTTCACGTGGCAAACCTGCAAACTTTTGTAAATGGGATCCAAATACAGCTGATGCTTTGACTTTGCTCGCAGTGCTCTTCAGGCCCAACAGTCTTCACATAGCCTTAGACCAAATTACATCCTTTAGTAAGGTACTGTACTGCATATCTGTTACTGGATTCTTTACATTACTACAATACTGTGGTGAACATGTGATTTATGTTTAGGTACTAAACCATTCAACTATGGTCAGGAAAAGATCATGTTTTGGTGTAAAATACCTGCTTTAAGTGCTTCAACCACAGCTGGATATGCCGATATCTCAATAAAAATAACTCGTTTTGTCGTTGGTCTCGAACAGTGGTCTGCAGCTTGGTAGCCATCTCAACAAGATGTCCTGCCATCCACCATCCCACCCACCTCCTGATGACAAAGTCAACTCATATAATCAGAAGTACGTCACTTGAAACATGTTGATATGATACATATGAAACGAACAAATTCAATGTGTCCATGGTTTGCGGAAATGGTACACTGCTAGCAACCTAAGTGCTGTATCGTAGACAACAGGACTCTATCTATCTATCTATCTATCTATCTATCTATCTATCTATCTATCTATCTATCTATCTATCTATCTATCTAACACAGGCTTCAAACCCTGTGTGGGTGTGCACCCTTCCAGAGTCTTTAAGGTCACATTATCATGACCTTAACGACTCGCCCACACAGGGTTCAAAGCCTGCGACTCCCCACCAGTCCGTTAGAACTAAAGAATCCTCTTGGATGAGAGGTGAAACGTCTTCAAGAAACTCAAGCAAGTCCTGTTGCCTACGATACAGCACAAAGGATTACCAAAACCTGGATGACTTCATCATTAGAGAATCTTCATCAGTATAATACCAACATTTCCCTCAGGTGATTGGGCCATTATATTCCTTTAATGTGTCCTGTTCTTACACTGCTAAACATAGAGTCTTATACTCATGCTAATATATCATATAATATACAGTCTATGAGGCCCTTTAAGGACTTAGCAAATGGGATGGATTTCATGTGAAAGGCACACTTACAAACTTGCGGTAAACAAAAACAGGGTTGTTCGCTCATTACATGAAGTCAAACTCTGATTGAAGCCATAATCAAACTACAGTCTGCAGCCTGAGTTTTAAGGAGCTCTCCTCTCGACTAATTCTACACACAAGGATCTGTTTATTTGTCACAGGGAGCACTACACAGCCCTGAAACAGTTGTATAATCACCCCTGTGGGTCCTCAGGGTGTCTGAGAAGCTGACTCATGTTGAGTTTGGAGGTTACAACTTTTTAAGAGGGAGCCTGCAGTACAAACTGCTGCCATGAGTTTGAAAGATGTGGGCATTTACCAGACAGGGGGAGTCTAACAAACCATGCTGTTGGGTTACAATATATGAAATATAGGATTCAGTGTTTTTTGGACTCTGACTCATACTGGAGGCTGAAAGCCAGGATATCTCTGCCTCAGCTGCAACAATTTTGGACATTCTTTTTTAATTGCCCCTAAACACAAAGTAACACCTCTAGTGGTGATTTTAATTAGGGCTGCCCCCTAACCATCAACCAAACATTAGTCGACCAGAGAGGTCATTAGCCGGCAAGATTTCATTGGTCGCCTAGTCGCAGAAGAAAATAAAAATATAACAAATGTGAAACTCTATTAGGAGCTGCGCCCTCTCAAAATACCAATCACAGCCGACAGATATCTTTCCCTTCTTCTGTAAATATTCAGTCTGATAAATACGGAAAGGTTGATCACGTTAGTGCAGGGCTACCCAGAGCTTTACATCTGTCCCACAGACGATAGGCCTACACACTTATAAACAGCTCCTGGAAGAAGATCAGCTCTGCACTTTCTTAGCAACCTCAGACACAACCTGCAGCTGTGCTCTTGAAAGCTGTCACAAAAAAGGCACAAAAGTAGCGTCCAGTGCTCGACCTTTCGTCATAACATGTCGGGCAGGAAATCCAAAGTGTGGGATCATTTTGAGAAGGTGAAGGACGAACCCAAGGTGATAAGTAAACTCATCTTCATTGGTCGACTACAAACATGACGTATCATCTGAAACGTGGAAGTAGCTACATGCCCATTAGCCCACAGCGTCATTAACAGGCGGCTCACTCAGTGTGTGACGTGCACTCATAGATAAAATATAGGCCTATATTAATGAAGGTTCATTAGTACGGTTTGTATTTCTCTATAATGTAGCACAGTGTTAACAATGTTACTGATACTATTCTTTCTCACACCTTCAACTCATTGTGTTGCCCCGCCTGAAATCATAACTGATAATTAAATAAATATCGTAAACATGCAGGAGACTAGTCGACTAATGGCCCTAAATGACGACTATTGGTTCGACGTGGGAAATTCTTAGTCGGGGGCAGCCCTGGGTTTGATACTTGAGGGGGAAAAAAAGGACAACTGTAGTATTGTCACAAAACAGAGGACACAATGTAAAGGAGCCGGAGTTATCAGACGAGAGGAGATGTTGAGCCATGATACAAAGGGTTTTCTTATTCTACCGGCCCAGGCCAGACTCTCCCGGACAGGAAATCATAGCAGTAACCTGACAGTCAATAAGATTCCTCTGTAGTCTAAGGACAACAGTTGCCTCACTTTCACTCTCTCTCTCTCAACACATTTAAAAAGGCTGTGATCATATCCTGTTACACAAGGGCTAATTAAGGTGCTGCCAGGTCTCCACTGGTTTTATGATGGCTACTGTAGGTGATAATGTGAGGAAGTGTGAAGCAGGATGGATCATGGATGAAAGGATTAGATTGATAGAAGGGAACTGAATTGTATTTTCTTACAAAAACCTTTGACAGCTCTTGAATAAAACCTGATGGTGGTTTAAATGTCAGGCCATAAGGAGAACACAGCAAGGATCCATTCCCAGTGCTTCATTTGAACAGAGTTCTGAATTGTCATTTTGGTTGCTCTGAATGTGTAACCTTGACTGACATGACTGACAGGTGGTCCGCATGATTCACAGCTCTATACAGTAGATTTCCGTTTTTCTGGTAACCCAGCTTGATAGAGAAATATTGAGCCTCCGCTGAATTGTTGAGCATTTTGTTCATAGTTTGAATGTCTGAATCACTGACGACACCAAGATCACATGCATATTTATTTTTCTCCCCAAAAGTCCTTTTTAAATACATCTTTTTTTGTGCTGTTTTTCCACTCAAATACTGGAGGTTGCACGTAAGATCACTGCAAGCTTGACTCAGAGGCAGAAA